GACTCTTGTACAACTGGTATAACTGGGCATGTCCTTTGGAGACATGCTGGAAGCTACGCCTATGGAGTTGTTCCAGAGAAACTGGCTCCTATAGGATATGAGGTTTTTAAACAAGGAAACTACCCCCCCCACCCCAACTCCCGCCATATGAGTTTAATGTGAGTCTAATTCCCTTACCTCAGAGCTGTCACCTTGGGACCGAACTGAATAGCTTCTGGATAGCTGTGTGGACTGCTACATGGATGGTCACAAGGACACTCCCAGGAAGAAAAAAGTTTACTGCTTCCCAAGGGCTAACTATGTTCCTGTCCTGGGCAGACTGGAGCCAAGTGGGGGTTAGGACCACAGAGCCGACTTACCTACCTATCAGGTGCAGAATACACAGTGCCTGCCTGGGGCCCACAAGACCTAGAGACCCATGAAAATATACTAATTTCTTTTAAAATTGGAAGAAAAAAATAAACTTTTAGATCAAAGATAATGTTTTGATATATACTATTAATATATTTGTATCTATATCAATACAATTGTATAATAAAAAAAATTTAATATTTAAAAACAAATTTTATAGCAGAAAGAGACCACAAAAGAAAAATTGCCCTAGGGCCATTAAAATCATAAGGTGAACCAATACGACAGTCTCCTGAGGCTGCCTGAAGGTTTGGTAGAGCCCAGAGAGACCCCGATGGGTGCTACATGGAAAATAAAATTTCAAAAAATTAATCTTATACCAGAAACTCTCTCTCTTTTAAATGGCCAGTATCTCTTGCAGAACAAACTGGGCTTTTAAAAATGCCATATTTTATCAAAATATGAAAAGTAACATATTTATGTCTATGTCCCTGGTTATTCTTTTGTGGTAGAGATAATGTGTGATTAGGTCTAAAAAAACTCTTTTATTGACCTGATTCCAGCTCTTGGAGAAAAGTATTGAGTATAGCAGCAGTTTCTGACATTATATGTCGAGATAATTTTGAGAAACTAATCCAATTCCAATAACTTCTTGAATTTGGTGCACTTTATAGAAAGCACAGGTATCAGTTTCTAAGGAAATCTGGGTTACCACAACCACATCCCATCAATTGAGGCATGACCTTGGCTTTGCTGGTCTCTAAGTCCTGCTACTGAAGATGCTTTTCCCTTTCTGCAAAACTGACTTTAAACAACCAACTTCTCGAGAAATCTAGACTTGTAGACTTGTAGAGAGGATATTGTTTCAATCCAAGACTGTACAGAAAAACATCTGTTCAAAACTGCTCATGTCTTTGACTCTTTCATGGTTTATTTATTTTTATTTTTTGCTATACTAAGACAGGTATTTTTTCCTTTCATCTTCATAAAGGAAATGGTTTGCTCTACAGATTAAAAAATGGTTCACTTGTCTATCTGTTCATCCATCCATCCATTCGTCCATCCATCCATCCATTCACCCATCTTTCAAACTAGACACAGATTACTTTGAGTGCAGTTCTTTCAACTTCAATATGAGGAAACCAAAGCCCAAAGCTATTAACTAATTTGCTTGAGTTTACAAAGGCCATTAGAAGCAGACTAAAAGACAGAGTCAAGTTTCCTGGACCCCAGTTTATTATTTAGGACCTCATGCTGATTCTTTCAAAAAGGACACTAGCAGGTTTGGGGATAGGTAGATAGAACATGGAGGAGAAACAGTTTAGCACTTGTAAAAGAACAGCTGGTGGCCAGGGCTGGGGATTATTGACAGAGACTGGGCGTACACACTGTTCAGAGAGCCGTATTTCACCAGGCACAAGATGAATCAAGCCTCCTTGGGCACGGCTGGTTCTAAATGCTCTTGTTCAATATGCCAGAGGCACAAAAGACAGAACGCATCTGTGGAAAGTTTTTTCCAGCACAGCACAGCACAGCACTTTGAGACCTCTGCCAAAGCAAGTCATGCAAGAGCCATATAATATTTTTTTTCTGAAAGTGCTCATAAGCTCCTGGCCCTGAGACATCCTCCTAATGTCCTCCTGATGCTGAGGAACTGCAGCACATCAAACACTGTGGCATTTAGGAAGGAGGTAAAACCTCCCATTAAACTGGAATGGTTGCAGTAAGAAACGAAAGCATGAGACTTGCTGCACAAGCAAAGCTAGAGTTTAGGTTTCCAGTCAATAGAGTCTATGGACAAACACAACCTTTCCAAATACACTGGTGTCAGCAGTCGACTCGTACCGTACACAGCAGCTAACAGGAGAGTCAGCTTAAGGATGA